GGAAATGTGTCATACAAATGATGTAATTCAATAATTCTCACCTGCCTAAGGTGACTAAATGGTGGCACTCCTACACCAGGGGTAAGTACAGAGAAGTTTGATTATGTTTCAGGTACCCATATGTGGCATTTTGGGGAAATGCAAGACTCTCCAAAGCTGTGAACTAGAACGGTTACAACCTTTAATCACTCTTGTTTTGGAGTTTTCTTCAACCATAGGCGTACAGTGCTTTCTTCTCTTACATTTAACTTGCTTTTAAGCTTTGGTTAAACTGAATCACTAAAGGAATAATAAATTTAATATTAGACTTGCCTATGTGTTGATTTTCTTTATCTTGGAAAATGTTCTTTTCTGTGTGAAAGGAAGTTGCTTTTTCTGCAGAAACATGAAAAACATGAAAAGGGTTGGAAGTTCTGAAATACTTTTAAGAAACTTGAAGTAGCAGGTAATTTCTCATACTTCTGAATGGGTAGCATAGCTGTCCTATGTGATTTTCCTAGAATGTAGCATTTTTTTGGTCTTGCTTTGATTATTTAGGACCAACTTCTTGTACTGCTGTGTTTCATTTTGGTGTAGAACAGCTCTGTTGGAAAGATGAGATTTATCTTTGTGTATTACACAGCTGTTGAAGTTTATGATCATCTTTACAGGGTGGTATGCACGGTGAAAAAGATTTTAACTTCTTAAACTGGACCTCAGTTTGGTTGTCTGGGCACTTAAAGTGTACCTAGTCTGGAGCCATTCAGTGTTGTACTTGAGTAAGTGGGAATGACATCCTGGTTGGGCAGTGAAGGACTTCTCTGGAGTGTGTATTTGCAGATTTCTAGGGATAGCATTTGGCTCTAGAGCTTGTAGGGATAACATGGTAATGCATTATTTTTTTCTTTAAAATGTGGTGTTCTATCATGTGCAGTTCTGACAAAAGGGGGAAAACCGGAGGTGTCCGATGGATCTGAAGCTGAGGTTTGGAAACTTCCCCTGAGGAAGTAGTTGACAGAATCCGGCTCCAGATGAAGGTTCACAGGCAATGCCTCTCACCAGGGAGCTCCCCGAGCTGGGGGAGCGCTGCATCAGATGTGAGTGGTGGTGTCAGTGGAACTGTTGATTGTGGGGGTGTAACATAACCTCAGCTGTGATTTTACAGGCTGTTGGAGCAACAGCACTTACCTGCTGGCTTGCTTGTGCTGCCTTTTCCTTTGAACCCCCAGTAGCTCTGTTTTCTATATTTCAAATAGAGTTTGAATTTATTATCACTTTCGGAGTTCATTTCTACTTGGCAAACTGAATTTCTGTGTCTAGAATAGTTTTGTGACTTCCAGACCGTGCTATACTTTAACCTGCTTGTGGCAGTCAAGCTGGAGATTGTTAAACTGTCATTATTGCAAGCTGATCTGTAATGAATCCTTTATAAATGAAATGTGATACCTTTATGGAAAGCAGTTTGCTTTAGCTCCTGGTTTTGCTTGGGAAATATTCACTGTTTTCTGTAAACCAGAAGGTTCAAATAGCAGACATCAATATTAGTTGTCAATGGTGGCTGTGAGGGGTAAATAAGAAATCAATGCATTTTAGAATTTGTGGAACTGTTGGAAAATAGAAAAAATCGAATGTTGCAACAAATGTAAATATTCTTTCGTCGTATATACTGTTGCAAGTCTAAAAGCTGAACTCATTTTGTGTGTATGAATGGATATAAATAAGTGTGCTCTGTGAAAACGCAGGGAAACAACATGAAATGTGGTTTTGAAATGTCGATTGGAACGTGCAGGCTGAATGCAGTCGGTGTTCTTGAGCGCATGCTGAGGAAGGAAGGAAGGCTGTTAATAAAAAATAATAAACCCCCGAGTTCCTTCAGTTCGATTACACCCAATGTGCTTAGCCTTGAGCTGAGAGCCTTCGTGCCCTGTTTGGGCTTGGTAACCACCAGAGCCTTTCTGTGCCATGGTGTGGCTGTTGCCCAGCCCCGGTAAGTGGTGAACACCGTGCTGATGCCCTGTGCTTGTGCTGGCACGTGCCAGCTGGGCAGCTCTGAGCGATGAAGGGCCAGGATGCTGTTGCAGGGTTGTGTGCAAGTGCAGAACACGAAGAAAGCGTCACAGGCTTAAAGAGGAATGGGGAGGGGGAGTAGGCATGGGGTGGTTCTAATCTAAGGATTAGTGGCTGGTGTTTTCAAAGCTTTTGGGATGGTCACTCCTCTCGGAGGAAGGGGACTGGGACTTTGTGGAGAGAGGTGGAGATGAAAGTCAACTGATACATTTAAGATAAACTATTCATTTTTTTATAGAAAGATGCAATTACTATAGTTAAAGTTACAGTTTACTGTGAAAATGAAAGCAAATTCCAGAAATCTTGCTTTAGGGAGGAAAAGAGAAAATGTGAGCCCATATTATCATAATGAAATCCTGTTTAAAAATCACTGATAACTGAAGTTGGGGCTAGTTTTCCTAATTGCTGAGGAACTTCACTATTTTTTCTTTCCACTTGTGGGTTTTTTTTTTTTTTTTGTATATGTGTTTGAGGATGCAAATATGTTAGGTTTTTGATTTTTTTGATCTTTTCAGGTGCAGGCAGGTTTCCAGAGATTTGTGCTGCTCAGTAACTGCATGAGCAGGGTGACTGGGCAAAGTTGTTCTAGTGGGGGCTAAGCTGATCTTGAGGCTTGGCTGAAATGGATGCTGGATCTTAACAGGCCAACTGCTCCTTGCTCTTGCTGCTGGGATGTCTGTGATGAGGATTTTCTTCTGGTGTTATTCAGGGAATGGATTGATACTGGAGAACATCATGCAGTGTGTTTGGAAAGCCATGAATTGAAAAGAAGGTTGTGTGGGCTCTTTGAGGACATCCATAGGCAGTAATATAGAAGCAACTGCTGGCTGAGGTTCAAACTGATGTTTTCAGATTAAATGTGAATTTTTTTATCTGAATCTCTTTAAGGAGCCATCCCTCTCTTCTTTCCGTAAGGATTTGGTCTATAGTTGTTAAAACCACTTTCTTGTTATCCCCTGAGTTGGTGAGAAAGGAGTACAGCTGGTTCCAAGGACAGCTCCTGCTCAGCCACTCCCAGGAACTGGCCTGGCTGTGCTCTCTTGGGTTTTGGTTGTCATGTGCACCAAGCAGTGCCTTTGATCTCCAGCTGGAGCAGGGAGATACAGCAGGAAAGGATTCCTTCTGGTTTGTAACTTGCCCAGGAATTCAGCAGAACATCTGGGCTGTGTTTCCAGGGAAATCCTATGCCAGCCTTCTGGGTATTAGGGCACTGAAAACCAAATCCTTGAAAATGGAGTATTTTCATGATTTCATTGCTCCTGACCTGGAGAAGAGATTCAAGTAGCAGATGAGAGTGATTGGGTGTGAGAACTTGCATCCCTTTACCTGCTGGCTTCACTCTGTGGTTTAACAGTTCCCATCTCAAACTCTTCCTTTTTGGAGTCTTTGTAACATGGAATAAATATGTACAGGCCTGTTCTGTGTGCATCTTGAGACCTGCAGTAGTGGTTTCCTCCCAGAAAGGCACCACACCTGAGTGGGGATCTAAAGCTTATGGGGAGCTGTTTCTTTGAGGTTAACTTTACTCCTGATCCTTTCAGCTCTAGTGGGGAGGAAAGGTGCCTCCTGCTACTACAGAAATCTCTGCTGTAGTAGAGGAAAACAGAGGCAGAACGTTGGCAGGGGACCCAGACTGGATGCCCTGGCCTTCCTTGTTGTCAAGTAGGGGGTGTTGTACAAATGTGTGGAACAGCAGATGTGAGGCTGTGTGAGATGTGAGCTGGTCTGGTGGAGTGGCATGTGTGGATGAAGAAAAAAACCTGGTACCTGTGACCTGAGATTTTAGGAGAAATGTATTTATTAAAGGTAATGGTTTCTTCTGTGAATCTTATTTGGGGTTGAAGGCAACTAAATGGAAGATGGATGGCTCCAGCCAGTAGTTTGAACAGTTGACCGGGCTCCTTCAAACAAGCCTCTTTGGAAATGCTGGCATTAAAGCAGTTTTTCAGTTGAAAGCTGAACTATGATTGTCTTTGCCTAAAGCTTTGCTAATTCTTACTGAGCACTGGTTTTGTGCTGCCCCATCACTGGAGCATCCCAGTGGTGTATTAAGTGACGTCGTTAAAATCTGTCCAGGGCAGATTGCAGACTGGGATATCCAAGGGATTAAAGGTTGTGCAGTAAAAGTTCATCTCTTCAAGTTAAATATTTACACCCTGCAAGTATGAGAAAGCCATGGGATACTCGAGTACTAGAAAGACCAAACAAATAATTGCTCATTTTCCAAACTCGAAAGGAACTTCTCTATGAAGTATTCCCATTTAAAACACTTGTTAGAGCCCTCAAACTGTAATGTTTTGATGCTTGAAGGTTTATCTTCTGAATGCCGTTTTGAGAATTAGAGCTGTTCCTCGAACAGAGGCGTCTGCGGTGCCATGTGCAATAAAACGTAGTGATCCCCGGCGCCAGGCCGGTGTTAGGGTTTATCGGGAGAGAGCAGGGCAGAGCTCCGTGGTTCCCGTGGGCGAGCAGGGGGTCCCTGCAGGCGGGGGGGCTCTGGAGGAGCTCCCACCGCGCGGGGCGAGTCCCGGCCTGTCCCTGTCCCTGCGCGGGGCTGGGAGCGCCGGCCCCGGGGAAGGGGCTTCTGTGCGGGAGGAGCCGCACCGGGGCGGAGGGAAGGGGCCTGCGGGGGGAGCGGGAGCGGCGCGCAGAGCCCGGCAGGAATAAGTGAATAGAGGAGCCGAGTGACGGCGGCGGGGCGAGCCGGGGGGCTCTGTGTGTCCCGGGGGCTCTGCGGGCGCTGTCCGTGCCCGGGCTCTGTGTGTCCCGGGGGCTCTGCGGGCGCTGTCCGTGCCCGGGGCTCTGTGTGTCCCGGGGGCTCTGCGGGCGCTCTCTGTGGCGCTGCCCGTGAGGGGGCGGGAGGGGCCGTGTCCGCAGCGCCGCTACCGCGGGCCCCGCCCCGGCCGGGCCGCGCCCCTGACGCTCCGCTCCGCTCTGCTCTGCTCTGCCCGCAGATGGCCGCCTGCGTGTCCCGCGTGGAGCTGTCCGTGTCCTGCCGCAGCCTCCTCGACAAGGACCTGCGCTCCAGGTCGGACCCGCTCTGTGTCCTGCTGCAGGACGCGGGCGGCGGCCGCTGGGCTGAGGTAAGAGCGGCCCCGAACGCGCCGGGTCTCCCCCTTTCCGTCCCGCAGGTTTTCCCAGCCGAGCGCACGGCACGCTGCGTTCGGTGGCTCAGTCGGTGGGCAGTCCCACGCTCAAACCCGCAGTGGTTTCATCAGTTGCTCGCTCTTTTGCTCAGGGCTGCATCGGGAGGTTCATTTGCCTGTTACAGTTTAACCTGCACCAGAGCTCACACTCCACAATACGCTGTTTCACCAGCTTTTCCCCCTCATTGTCAGAATTTTTCCACTGATGAAAGTTTATTTTCCAATGCTGTTTCCTATCCCGGTGAGCTGTTGGTCAGCCCGGTTCATCTCCGAACACGAGGCGTGGTGTGGGCTGTGTAGCCCTGCTGGTGCCTGTGTTCGCCCAGGGCAAGTAGAAAGCCGTGTGGGAGAACAGGTGCTTCGTCCTCCTCATCAACAGCTTTGCTCCTGTGTGTTTGTGCAGCTGGATCGCACGGAGAGGATCAAGAACTGCCAGGACCCCGAATTCTGCAAGAAACTGGTTGTGGATTACTACTTTGAGAAAGTGCAGAAGCTGAAATTCGGCGTGTATGACATTGATAACAAGACCTTTGATTTAAGTGACGATGACTACCTGGGAGGAGTTGAATGCACGCTGGGACAGGTATGTGGAGTTGTGTCAATTGATCTACAAAGTAGCAGCAAGAGTTGGGTTTATTATTAAAAATTAGGTGCAAAGTTGCTTTATCAAAGGTTTTGACACATTCAAATTTGAAAACACACTGTTAAACATGTTAGTTTTGTGTTACTGTTGAACATAGTTAGAAAAATCATTGTGTCAATCACAAAGTGAAGGTTAGAAATACTCATGGTGTGTAATTAATGGCTTAATTTAGGAGGTACTTGTGGCACTAAAGGCAGTTTGAGAGTAAGGAAGCAAGAGAGCTTGGAGAGCTCTCATGGAGTTTCCTTTGCACAAAGGGATCATCAGGCAGTAAATTTAAGGAAATAAGACTAGTGGAGATTCTGTACTTGTTTCCTGAGGAGAGGTTTGTATAGCAAGGTAGGAGAAGAAAAGCGGGGCTCACATTATTAAACAAAGACTCGATAAATTAAATATTCTTTTCTGGTTTTTGTAGCTTTCTGGCTACCCGTGATATCAATGCCTCTTGTGTCACAGAGGCAGCAAAAATAGATGGCTACAGTTAACTTTGGAGATGTGTTTGTGGGCATTTTACAGTTAACTTTGGAGATGTGTCTCCTGGATAGGGAGAGAACATAACTTCCAGACTGTTTAGCCATTCAGGAGCACAAACTGATGTCTGTCACTGTTGGTAGTGCATTTAAATCTTCTTAGAACTTTTAGGAGAGTTTGAAAATTTTGCACCTGAAGAATAATTCTTTGCCCTTTGTCTAAGTTGATATTTAGATTACCTGTCTTTTAACCTTAGGTTGTGTCCAGCTCTGTGTTCACCCGACCGCTGGAACTGGAGCAGGGAAAGCCAGCAGGGAAGGGCACTATTACGGTAAATAAGGGATTTATGTGAAAAACTTTCATATATTGCCTGGGACAAAGTGGCATTTCTGGTTTGTGTGTCAGAGTTTCTTTCATGGACAAAGTACGAGCAGAACTCTTGATTTCTTGTTTAATTTTTTTTAACCCCTACATTTCTGTGGTACAGATTTCAGCAGAGGAGATTAAAGATACCAGGATTGTGTACCTAGAAATGGAAGCCCAAAACTTGGACAAAAAGGTATTGATTTTTTTAAAAATTATATTGGATGCTTCTGTAGTAGTTACAGTTTATACCTTTTGTCCAGGAACCTCTCTCTGTGTTTGCAGACATTCAGCTAAGACAGTAATCCACGTGTGAGCAAAGGCTCGCTGTGGTTTGTTACTTACAGTGCAGTAAACTGGAGACACAGTTTGGTGTTGAAAACCACAATGTCAAACTGAAAACTCATTTGCCAGGTTTAGGTTTTGGGGCATTAATTTGGATTTGGAATATTCTGTATATTAATAGAGTTCAGTACGTAATTGTCTCCACTGAGTACTGTAGCTGTAAACTGATCTTTCTGTATTTTCATTAAAGAAGAAAAGGTGGAAATTTAGGTGTGCTGCTCATTGTTATTTGAAACCAAAGACCAATCCAGGGATTTAGTGGCCTAACTGCTCAGTCAGCAAAGTGATGTGATTTATATAGTGACAAACGTGGTCTGAGGGGGCAGGCTTGGAGCTGATAAATTCTGATAATTTATATGCAGCAGTTTAAAAGAGAAAAATAAAAACCAGGCAAGAAAACAAATGTGTAGTTTGTTTGACTTTGTGCTTTCTGTGAAGTATTGTGTACTGATTAGCCAACTCTTTCCTTGTTTTGGATAAAATGTAGGAGGCTGATGACTTCTGCTGGGTTTTTGTTTGCAGGATTTCTTAGGTAAATCAGATCCGTTTCTGGAGTTCTACAAGCAGGGTGATGCTGGAACGTGGCAGCTCGTGTACAGATCAGAGGTAGCATTTCCACACAGTGTTTTTCCTGAGATGATCAGATAGTTTACTCCTACTGAGAGTGGGAGTCCTACTCCTGGTTGTGCTTTGCACCAGTTTTGCAGAGAAAGTTGCACCCAATGAAAAGGAATTCTGCTGACTGAGCCTGCAGCAAATTGTTTATTTGCTGCCTGTTGACTGGGTGAAGCTGTTGAGTGAGAGAGCGACTCTCCTCCTTTTTCGTGGTGTTGAGCTGTTAGGTTGGCTTGGCTCTAAAATTGACCTGAACTCTGAAATCAGTCTTTAATTCCTGGCAGAGCTGTCGCTTGGCTCTCGATACCCGCCAGGGTTGAGCTGACTGAGCCTGTTCTCTGCTCACGTCACGTTTCTCAGTGATTGTGTTGCTGCATCCCTCACATGACATTATGCTGACATTTTTTTAAGGTGATCAAGAACAACCTAAATCCGTGCTGGAGGAAGTTCAGTGTTCCCTTGCAGACGTTCTGTGGTGGAGATTTTAATAAACCTATCAAGGTACAGCCTTCAGAAATTCTCTTTGTTTGTTGTTACAAGTCATCTGTTCTCTGTTGATGCTGACTGTGAGTTATCAGGCTGTCTGGTCACATTGTAATTTTTAGATTACCTTCCTAGAGTTGCAGTGTGGTAGGTAAGTGATGATATTCTGTTAAGTATGATGTCTGTATTAAAATATTATGAGTGTTCAAACTGAGAAGTCAGGAAATGCAGAAGTGACACAATTTCTAATGATTAGTAACAAGAAGAATTACAACTGGTTTTTCTTTTCACTGTTCTGTCCAGGATTTCAGGTTGGGCTTCAGTGGTGGTGTCTTGTTTGGTTTATATTTTTTTTTCTTGTGGCTTTCTACCACTGTTTTTAAGTTACCTGAGAAGCTCACAGGTGTTGTCTGATAGCAACTTTATTTGTTATTTTTTCTTCTAAGCAATGCATTGCTAATTTAAAGGCATTTAAATCAGTGGGTAGTTCTGTGTGAGTATAGTTCCTCTCTGCTTATCCAACACCTAAATACTTTGCATTTGCAGAATTTTCCTGTTTCATCCAGTCTTTGAAGAAGTCTCATGCTGGAAGCTGGGTCTGGAAGGTTTAGCAAAAAGCATGCATGCTAATGTTGTTTCTTGTGCAGTATGGCAGGTCCAAAGAATTACTGAGGCTATTAACCTGGAAATAGGTGTTCAGGTATGCTGGGCTCATTGACAGGTGGCAGTGCTCTGAGTGGTGTTCATGAGCTTTTATTGCTGAGGAATCAACCGTCTTAGGTCAGAAAAAACTCCTCTGGGTCCAAAAGTGAGCAGCAGATGTGTGAAGGAGATGGCTGAGAGATGCATGTTTGAACTGACACAACATGGCATGGTTTGTTCTGTGGGGCTATGTTTGCTGTAGTCCAAAAACATTTGTGTTGCTGTTTTGTTTCATTTGTTTTCCAGAAGCTTTCTGTGCTTTGAAGTTCACTTTGGAGTGATCTGCTTCTTCAAAAGGATAGATTTTAGCTGTTAGTCCATTTGAGCCAAAATTCTCGATGCATGTGCAAGTAGTCTATTAAATTTCCCAGTGCAGCTGTGAAAAAGGATTAAACTGTTCTTGTCCTTAACAGTCTGGGGAAGTCAGTCAGTCAGGGTGACAGGCAGGTGTTTCACTAGCAACACTGAAGAATATAATTGCAGTGGTGGTTTAATTTTCATCTGGCATTTGTTCCTCTGAACCTCTTGTTTGAGGCTTCAAAAAATTCCCATAGGAGCAATGATGTGTGAAATACTGGTCAAGGGAGAACCTGAACTCCAGCACAGTGGGAACAGCCATTCTGGTGTATCCTCTAAACATCAGCTTTGCCAGCTGTGTGAGGATTAGGCACAGAATGTGTGCGTGGACATAAATCTTTTGATCAGATGCTGCCCAGTATTATGGGAATTCTTTCTTCATTGCAATGCAGAGTGATGTTCTTGTTCAGTGTTAAGAACAGCTCAGATTTGTGACACAGCCTAATCTTCGTGATGGTTGTGTTAAAAATAAGGGCAAGTGAAAGCAGCGTCTCACCCCCGTGGTTATTTAAATGGAAAGAGCAAACGTAGCAAATAGAAGTGGCAAAATAGCAAAATAGAGATTTGTGGGTGTTGGTACAAGCTCGCAGGTTTGATGGCAGGTAGCTCAAAAGCAAAACCGTTTTCTGAAAGGATGAAGGTGGAGAAGGGGGCACAGTCACTGTGGTATCTCGTTCCCCCATTAAAGCAGTGAAGGATGACTTGCTGCTTCCCATTTAGGTGGCTATCTTAGGCCATAATTCACCTGGCTGTTTGTACAGGTTTTCCACTTACAACAGTGGAGGATCCCGAGTAGATCCAAATAGTCCTAAAAGAACCCTGTCTCAAATTCAGGTATCTAGCCATTGAATTTGATATCCTTACCCCATCTTGTCCCATTGTCCTGAGGAGAAAGCTGTCCCTGTGGTTTATGATGGAGTAACAGCAGTTTCTGGATGACTAAAGGCAAATCTTGGAAAGGAAGCAGATTGGGAATCTGTGTGGCAGGAGAGCTTCATTAGGGGAGCAGCCAGCTGCTTGTAGCTGTTTCTTAGTTGGCTGCTTCTGGAATTACTTGTGTTCTACAGCTGTGTGCATGGAGTGCCTTAGAAATGCTCTTCACAGTGGTTTCGTGGGGAGCTACTGACAACACATCTCCCCTTGCTTGCTGTAAGCCACAGCTGAGAGCATGTTTTTGTTTGTAAATGCATTGCTCTTTTGCATTGTCTAGTTCTGAAGCTTTCATGCTGATTTAAACATGACTGGTTATTAATGAAGTGCTTATCATTTGGTCTGTATAAGATGCAGAAAAAGACAGACTTACTGTTCCATGGAAATTGCAATTTCCTTGTAAATCGATGCTATTGTTGGACAGAAAAAAGAGCATATTCAGAAAGTGCTTAGATAATGAAGTTTTAATTGCTTCTTCCCATTACTCCAGTTCCATATCTTGTCGTGAATGATCTCACATTTATACATCTGGGCTGTGGAATGTTGGAATTTTTTAAGGTTTCTTTGAAATTTTTATTTATTTATTAATTTAATAATTTCCATTTGAACCAGGGAAAGAGTTTATTTAAAATTTTCACTTGTGCATACTTGAACATGATGAGGAAGTGAACATTTTTGAGATTCACTCTGGGGGTGTGTCTTTACTCCTGGGTTTCAATTAGTCATGTGGCCAATACCCCCAGTGCTGCTTGCAAAGGTGGGACAGAGCAGATGGGCTGGGGAGCAGCAGCTGGTCCCTCTAGCACGGGACACCCATGTCCTGCCCCTTCCTCCCTTGCAGGTTGAGTATCCATGTCCTGCTCCCTCCTCCCCTACAGGTTGAGTGTCCATGCCCTGCTCCTTCCCTGCAGGAGCAGTGTCCATGTCCATGCCCTGTTCCTTCCCTGCGGGTGCAGTGTCCATGCCATGCCCATGTCCATTCCCTCCCTGCAGGAGCAGTGTCCATGCCCATTCCCTCCCTGCAGGAGCAGTGTCCATGCCCATTCCCTCCCTGCAGGAGCAGTGTCCATGCCCATTCCTCCCTGCAGGAGCAGTGTCCATGCCCATTCCCTCCCTGCAGGAGCAGTGTCCATGCCCATTCCCTCCCTGCAGGAGCAGTGCCCATGTCCATTCCCTCCCTGCAGGAGCAGTGTCCATGTCCATGCCCATTCCCTCCCTGCAGGAGCAGTGTCCATGCCCATTCCCTCCCTGCAGGAGCAGTGTCCATGCCCATTCCCTCCCTGCAGGAGCAGTGTCCATGCCCATGCCCATTCCCTCCCTGCAGGAGCAGTGTCCATGCCCATGCCCATTCCTCCCTGCAGGAGCAGTGTCCATGCCCATGCCCATTCCTCCCTGCAGGAGCAGTGTCCATGCCCATGCCCATTCCCTCCCTGCAGGAGCAGTGTCCATGCCCATGCCCATTCCTCCCTGCAGGTGCAGTGTTCAGACCACGACAGCGATGGCTCCCATGACCTGATCGGTGCCGTGCAGACGACCCTGGTGCAGATGCAAACAGCTGGCCCTGGCTCCCCGGTGAGCATCCCCAGCCCCTGCTCACTTGGGCCAAATTCAGGCCTTCACAAACGCTTTTTAATATTGGCCTCGGGCACACACTGTGAGTTGTTCCCTCCAAACGTGATTATTTCTGTTTGTATCTAAGCCAACATCTGGGAAGAATGGTGTGGGAATTACATTTCTTTATTTTCTTTGGGTTCTGTTACAGTTCCTGTTTTTAAAGGCATCCTTGATCCTGTTGTCTGCTGGTTGCCAGCCACTTTTCCCAGCAGTTCAGCCTGCTTTGGCCTCTTCTGAGTCCAGTGGAAATAAAAGTGCTTGTTGGGGCTGTTACAGAGTCCAGAGGCACAGCTTGTTTGTGCTGGTCACCCTCCCAAGTGCTCTGGTGGCCTTGCCAGTTAACAGAGAGCAGGGTCCTTCCAAGGGACACTCTTCTTACCTTGCCTTGGCCATCCACTGCAGAATAGATCGAATCCCCTGCTGGTGCTGTTGTCTGCAGTGAAAACCTGACGTCTCATTCTCATGGGGATGTCTCACCTGAGTTCAGGTAGATGTATTGCACACAGGACATAGCCCAAGACTACTCCACGTGCCAGCCAGCTTGATTTTTGTGGCCATAAACTAAAGCTGGTAGAAGGTTCTTGCCTTTTTCCATGGCCTGTGTGAGTTCAGAACTAATGTGAGTGAAACCAAGTACTGGGAACCTGTGGCCTGGCTTTTTTGGCCTCCCCACCCCAAGATTTTGCCTCCTCTGCCCAGTGCTGATGGCAAAAGTATCCCATTTAGTTCATCAGATAGCAGCCAAAGTAGTTGCAGACCTTTTTAAAATTAAATTTCTGAATTCTGCTGGGTATTTGGGTAACTCTGAAATTGTGTGATGTTTGGCACTGTTCTGTTTCCATAATTTGCTCTGCTGTAAGTGCAGATATTTTGGAGCTTGATTCTTCCGTGCTTGCTTTCTGTAGGTGGAATTTGAATGCATTCATCCTGAGAAAAAACAAAAGAAAAAGAGCTATAAAAACTCTGGCATTATTAGGGTAAAATCCTGCAAGGTAGGAAGACTTTTGTTGGGTTTTTTTTTTTGGCTTTTTTCTATCCTGATCATAACAAAATGAGTGGGTGTAACACTGCCTGTCTGTTCCTCTAGATTGAGACAGAATATTCCTTCCTGGACTACGTGATGGGAGGCTGCCAGATTAACTTCACGGTGAGTCATTTCCCCACTGCCTGTCTTGGTGGATGACAGGACGAGCACTGAGGTTGTGTAGTTCTGCTGGCAGCGTCAATGACTGCAAGTGCAGTGTGAGTTTGCGGTGATGGAGTCTGCAAAACCCAAATGATAACTATATTTTTACTTTTTGTGATCAAGTAGCACTTTAATGGAGCTCAGGCTTCTTAAACTTCTTCTGAGAAACTGGTTCAGTCTGTCAGTGGGAAGGATTACTACTGCTTAAAAATGCCTGTACTCCAGTGGGAAAAGGGGTGCAGGCTTGTGTGCCTGCTCCTGTGTAGAGCTGCTGGATTTCTGGATGTGGTTAGTTCTTCTCTGTGCTTGTGGTGACGTGTCAGTGACTTGCTGCCATCATCTTGACTGATTAGGTGGGTGTAGACTTCACTGCCTCCAATGGAGATCCCAAGTCACCAGATTCCCTTCACTACATCAGCCCAGATGGGATAAATGAGTACCTGATTGCCATCTGGAGTGTGGGAAGTGTAGTCCAGGATTATGACACGTATGTAATGATCCTGAGTGCCCTAGTCACCTCACCAAAACTGTCACAGCAGATCACTGCTCATAGTTTGTTCCAGACTGTAACATTTTAGTGACTGAGGGGCTGCCTTTCCTTGGGGGAGATCCCTTAAGGAGCTGCTGCTGTTTCCTCTTGCTTCTGTCAGTGCCAGGGAGGGCAATGGCAGCCCTTCATAATTTGGTGTCTTTGCTTGACTCCTGCTCTACCCTGGGTCTCTCTGCTGCTTTAGCTGCTCACTGCTCCCTTGTTGCTGATGGTGCATTGCAAACATGACTGTTTCATTTGATTCAGTGGGAATATGTTTGTCTGCTCTGTCCTGTGACCAGCCTGGGGTGGGGTCTGGCTTTTCTCCTGCTGCTTTCAAATCTCCTGGGACTCCTGTGAGGGCTGTGCTGAAGTAAATTCTGCAACTGTCAAGCCCAAGCCTGAATCCCTTGGGTACCTGGTGCCTGGCCATGGGCAGCTTGATGATGTACCAATTCCTTATAGCAGGAACTCAGTCTTGGTCTCCAACTGCTTTCTTAGAATAAAACAGAAGAGTGAGTCACTAAAGAATTGCTCTTTCTCATTTCTTGTTGTTGTCCTTTCTTTCCAGGGACAAGCTGTTTCCTGCATTTGGGTTTGGAGCTCAGGTTCCTCCTAGCTGGCAGGTAGGGCCTTCCTGACACTGTGCACTTGCTCTGTCTGTGTTTGCATTCCCTTTTGACATTGTTTGTCATGTCCCCTTTCTCAGGTATCTCATGAGTTTGCGTTGAACTTCAACCCCAGCAACCCTTATTGCCCAGGTGAGGACACCTCTGTTAATAATGTCCCTGAGAGGGGCAGATCTTTGAAGGGTTGTGTCTGTGAAAATCAGATGCAGCACTGCTGCACCAAGGCATGAGGCAAACTAGATTTACTCTCACCTGGATGCTGACAAGAGCAGCTGTGTGTTGTTGCAGACTTCAGTGAAGGGGTCTAGGTTTAATTTGATTGTTAGTCTGTACTAAAGTTTTTGTTGCTTCAGCTTGGTTACTTCTGCTGGGTTCCAGGTGGCAGTGGGTTCAGCTCAGCAGTGTGCCTGGGCTCGTCACACTTCCAGAGCCACCATCTGCTGAGGCTGTTAGAAACCAGGGTTAATTGACAGCAGTGGCAAATGAAGCTACACTGATACAAGCCAGGAACAGGCCAATTTAGATGGATCCAGAGAAGAATATGTACCATTTGAAGTCAGACTTGAAAAAAAATTTTGTTTAGTTAACCTCAGAAAAGCTTCTTGTGTAGAAGAACCTTAGGGATTGCTGTTTCTGTTGCAGAAATGTTTGAATCCTGAATCAGAGATTGTTGTCTAACCTCCACACAAGGAATAGGAAAAGTTACTGTTCCAGAGAGCTTCTGACCTTGTTGTCTAATTAGACCATAAGCAATTAAACAAGGGAAATTGGTTGACGAGGTAGAAAGGACAAGGTAAACGCAGTCCTGCCTCTGGTCTTCGTGTCCCCAGTTACCTCACTGGTGTTGGTGACCAACAGAGCCAGTAACGCAGTCCCTCTTGGGGGGCTGTTGATTGTCTGGGCCAAGGGGGTGCCCTCCATGCATTCCAGAAATCTGCATTGCCCACAGCTCACTGTGCTGCTTTCCCAGCAGATGTCAGGATGGTCCAAGTCCCCCAGCAGGACAAGGGCCGGCGAGTACGATGCCTCCTGTAGCTGGAGCAGGAAGGCTTCATCAACAGGCTCCTCTTGATCAGGTGGCCTGTAGTAGCCTCTAACCACAAAGTTCCCTTTGTTGTCTCAGTCTCTGATTTTTACTCACAGGCTTTTGACCTGCTCATGGTTGTTCTTCAGAGGCAGCTCTTCACACTCAGTCCACCTCTTGATGTAGAGAGCAACTCCTCCAGCTGTCCTTCCTCCCCTGTCCCTTCTGAACAGCCTGTAGCCATCCATTGCTGCACTACACCCATTGGATTTGGCCAATGTTACCAAGTGTCAGTAATGACAACAAGGTTGTAGTTTCCAGCAGCATGGGTGGCTTCCACCTCCTCCTGCTTGTTGCCCGTGCTGAGTGTTGCTGGTGTGACAGCTGTCTCACCTTCCTAGAGCAACAGCCCTTAATTCCTTCGAGATAATTTTCTGGTGTTTTTTTCCTGTTGGTTTTTATTACCTTAGGAGTTCCTGGCTCATCTCTGTAAGAGTAGAAGTGTGTTGCACATTCCAGAGTCAGGGGGGTATAGATGCATTTCAGCTGGGCGATGAATTTCACCCCCAACACTGGCATGCCACCCCTAGGCTCTTCTCTGCCGAGCCTGCTCTTATCCCCTCCCTCCTTCAGACCCAAGTTAAAGCCCTCTCAGTCAGCCCTGCCAACTCACAGGCCAGAATCCTGAGCTTTGTGATGTTAGAGGCACAAAGAGTGACATGTGAGGAATGTAGAATGGGGGAGAAATGTGCAAATCTGATCTCTGCAGCTGTCCACTGCTTCCATCTCTGTGCTGCTTGTATTTCCTGTTATCTCGCTGCTTATTTGCCCTTCAGGAGTTCACGGCTGTGTGAGTTATCCTTTATTTAGTAATGCTTGTAAAATAACGACTGGAAAAATCGTGGGGCTCATGTGGCAGGTTTGCTTCCTTGTGTTGCAGGGATCCAGGGCGTGGTGGATGCCTACCGCCAGATCCTGCCTCAGATCCGACTCTACGGGCCAACCAACTTCTCTCCCATCATAACCCACGTGGCAAGGTTTGCAGCACACTCCATGCAACAAGGAACTGCTGCAGTGAGTGCAGGGCCTTTCCTGTGGATCTGCTTTGGGTTGATGTTTCTGTTTTCCATGTTTACAATGGGATAGAATGGAATGGTAGAGTGATGTTTGTTATCTTCCCTCCTTAGAATCCCAGGTTTGGTCCTCTGTTACCAGCCCACAGAGAGGCATTTCTTACATTTCTGAGAGTATTTTTTAACCTTCACAACGCTTTGGGGGGGGATCTTCTCAATTTTCATTGGGCGTTAAAGATCCCTACTTTTTCTTTCAGATTGAAAGCTAACTATTTAAATAATCTGTCAGCAGTGGGGTACAAAAACAGTAACCCTTGTGCTACCTGTGTTTTGGAATTGGAAATTCAGTTTTCTCTTATTTTCATTGTGTTCCCCTCATTTTAAGCCCGTAGATAGCTGCTATAAAACACCAATTGCTCATTTCAGAAACAGGTAGTACACCTTAGTTTCTGGAGAAGGACGGAAATTTTAAACACTTTGCCATACTAATGAGTGTGAGATACTTCTTTCTTTCTAGAAAAGTATTCTTGCCCTCACTTATCTCTAGAGTGTCTTTGTCTCATGTTATTTGTCATTGCTGTGTTTTGAGATTTCTCACACTTAGAATACTTATAATTTAAATTTAAATTATTGGTAAAAAAAAAAGGTTTTTTGAGTTCCACTGCAGGGATAATAAATATCTTTAGCCTTTCTGAGATGTTAGTCAGTAAAGCAGCACCCATCAGTGAATTTTGTATGTGTGGATGTAGTAGTACTTTTCATCTCCTAGTACTTTTTGCCAGTTGATGTAACTGTTCTTTATAAATTGAACTTAATCCTTTATCTTTATTCTAGTACAGAGGAAAGCTGAAGTGCACACAGAAAATGGGCATAGGAAAAAATGGGGATAAACATAATTTTCTTTTGTCTTATCCATAGCAACATCTGATTTCTTTCTTAGCAAACTGTGTTTGCCTTCAGTTATGTAAGTTTGGTGTTGAAATACCTGACTGGGGGCTTTCTTGTGTTTTTCAGCACTATTATATCCTGCTGATCATCACAGACGGAGAGATCACCGACCTGGACCAAACCAGGCAGGCGATTGTCGATGCCTCCAAGCTGCCCATGTCCATCATTATCGTGGGCGTTGGCACAGCTGATTTCAAAGCCATGGAGTTCCTGGATGGAGACAATGGTGTCCTGAAGTCTGTGACAGGAGAGCCAGCTGCTCGGGACATCGTGCAGTTCGTGCCCTTCCGGCAGTTCAAAAATGTAAGTTGTTAAACAGAAGGGTCCTGGAGCCAGCACTGATACATCCCAGCAGTGACCATGGTGCTGACAAGGCAGCGGGCTCAGAGTGCTGCCCGTGCTGCCCGTTCCCAGTGAGGGTTGAGGTGTTTGCCCTTGTGTTCACAGCCGAGAGCCTCTCGGTCTTGCAGCTTTTCCCCAAGGAGCCCTCGTTGTATCGCTGATTTCTTGTGTTATCTCTCGGCTGTCGTGGGGTTAAAGGGGATGTGCTCTCTGCTGGGATGCAAACAGTTAGGCAAGGAACTGAGATCATGTTGTCAGTCTCTGATGTTGAGTCCCAGGAGTGAGTGAACTTGAGATCAGTCTTCCCTGCTGTCATTCCTCAGCTCCTCCTGACTTCCAGGGCCAGCACTGCCATCTGCACACTGAATGGGGTTGAGTGAGTCCAGACTCACTCAGTAATAATAACAGACATTGCTGGTTGTGGGGCAGTTTGGCACTCAGGTCAGGGCCATGTAAAGGCTCTGTGAGTCTGGGGTTGAGGTGGGAGCGAGTTTTCATCAGCAGTGCTCGCTGAGACTGACTGGAAGTGCCCCTAAAGCTGTAGCAGGAAACTCTTAAAACAGGGAGTGAATGTGGCAGGTGGGGACTGCCCTTGGAATTCCCTTAGAGAGTTTCCCACTGGGCTGCCCCATCTGTTCTCTCCGTGTTTGATTTACTCTCCCCGTTCTCCCCCCAGGCTCCCCGGGAAGCGCTGTCCCAGGTGGTCCTGGCTGAAGTGCCCAAGCAGTTGGTGTCCTACTATAAATGGAAGGGGTGGCCCCCCCTGAAGCCCCCGGAAATCAAGGCCATGTAATTCAGGCTGGCCTGTCCCGCTGGGTGAGGAGCTGCCTGCAGCCACGCTCTCCCTGCCACACCACGGGTGCTCGGGGCCTGGAGATCGCACTGCTCACACCACTTCTTTCACCTGCCTGTGCTCTGAGTCTCATCTGTCCTGTTCCCAAACGGAAGAGCTGCAAATACGGGGAGAACCCCTGATTGCTGGAGGTTTTTTGTCACAGAAAAAAATGACCTTGTTGATTTTGCACCTTGCAACAGTGTCTGGTTGTGACACATCACACCAGGTGTCATTGCTGTGCTGGCTCTCAGGCTGTGCACTGAGCTGCTCACATGGCACTGCTGCAGTGCTGAGCTGCAGGGGAGAAGCGTTGCACCCCTGTTCGCTGCAACAACACTTACCATGTGCTCCTTGATAGGTGTTTTTCTTCTGTCAAGCTGCCTTGGAACTGGGGACCCTTCTGTCCTGGATGTGACCAAAGACTGTTGGTTGGATGCCTGTTGTGCCTTCCTAAAGTGCCAGTATATTTTTTACATGTAGAGATTTATTTTTAAATTTCAATGACCATGTTTTGCTATCTTTTTTTTTAATCACATTTTTCTATTAGCAAAATTTGCTTCTGTGATAAGCTTCTGCTTGGAGCCATTGTTACAGCATAAGAACATGGCACTTTGCTTATTTGTGGGGGATCAGTGAGGATTAATCATTAATTAGTGGGATGGGGTGGGATTAATGAGTCACATTAGTGTGACTTAAAAAATTCAGCAACTGGAAACACTAAAGTGAGGATGCTTTGAGTCATTTCATTATGTCACACAAGTTACAAAATGAAGAAGTATCTGTGGAACTCCAGAGGAGGTGCTTCCTTGTCCTTGGGAGTGTGAAGTGTGTACTGCGTGATCTGGGGACTGGAGGTGACAGCAAAGCACAATTGCTTTGAGCAATGGGATGTGATGGTTCATTTCAATATAGAGATAAAGAAACCTGGGCTTGTCATTGCACTACAAGTGGTCATCACTTCCAGTTACATAAATCAGTAATCTGCTTTGACTTACATAACATGTCTGGACTCTTATTTCCTTCCTGGACTTCTCTTTTTGCTTTCCAGCAATGTGGCTGGTGGTGTTTCAGCATCTGAGTGAGCCTAGGTTGAGTGTGATCCAAAACCAAAGCAGAACCAGTTGTCCATCATTGTTAATTTTGTTCCCTGTTAATCACTGACTGCTGAATCCTGAGCCCTGTCCTGCAGTAAGACAAGCTGTTTCTTCACTGTGAAATTATGAAAGAACTTGTCTGTTCTACATGATGACCCCTGAAATGGTGAGAACATGTTGGCACACTGCACCAATGATCCAGACCCTGAGACTGGTTAAGTTACAAACCTGTGTGAAGGCAGAACCTGGGGTTGAAGTCTCACCCTAAACTAGGCTAGTCATTCTGGATGGCCTCTGCCACCAAAATACCACTACATACTGTGTCTGAAGGGCTGTGGGGCCAGGACCACTGCTAGCCAGGATGAATCTGTGCCAAGTCTTCTCTGAGAAACTGCAGTGTGATGGGGAACATCCTTTACTCGTGTTTTCAGCTGCTTGCAGCCTGTAGACAGAGCTCTCCTTCCCTGTGTGGTGCCTACAAGAAACCTAAGGCTGTTTTCGTGTGTGTGTATATTTTGAAACCCATTTCACCTCTCCTTTTGAAACCTCTGCCAACTCCCACTCGAAGAGAGTGAATGCTCTGTGTCTGCACTCTGAGGAGTGAAGTCACTGTTCTGAAACTCACTGAGGGGTTTCCAGGTGCTGGACTCACTGGTGGTAGGAGAGACCTTTCCTGCTTTGGGGAGGAATAGGGCAAGATGTGGCAGAGGCAGGTCTGAGGAGCTACTCCCCCCTGTGGAAGCAGAACAGAATTTGGAGGAGATGCTCTTTATCCACAAATAAATGGCTGAAATGTGAGCAGGAAAAGGGGCACAAGTCCTGCAGTTGTCACTTGAGAACAAGAGCTGATGGGTGTGGGCCCAGGTGAAAAGCCTTGGGAGGGTCAAGCTTGGAAGCTGCTGACCTGGCAGGACAGAGTTTTGTCAGTTTTCTCTCATTCTTGGCTCTCCTCAGGACCCCAGGTTTTAGAGGAAGTGCAGCACTTTGGAAGGCTGGCAGGTCTGTCTGCTGCCACGTGCTGCCCTGGGTGTAGCTGGAATGCAGACTGATGGCATGGCTGTCGCTGGAGTTAGAGGAGAGGTCAGGGTGGAGCTCAGGTTGCCTTCCTCAGGAGAACACAACACTGTTCTTGCTCAGTGCCAGCACCTGCTCTGCCCACCCCAGTCACTGTCTTGGTTTATCTCTGTGGTGAGCACGGGGAACACCCCAGAAGTCTCTTTACCCTGACTAAGACTGAACAAACACCCTTGGACTTGTGATCCCCAAAGGTATTTCAGCCTCAGGGCTTTGTATAAATCAAAAGCTGTTGCAGGAGCTCGTGGGGGTGTTCCTCTTGCTTTCTGGACATCTGACAATAAATACTGGTGACATCTCATGCCAGGCTCTGCCACACTACCTGATAGCTCCCTCCTCTGTGGGAGATCAGGCTCCATCCCCTTTCTTTGCCCAGACAACTGGTTGGGCTAATGGCCTTCCTTGGGCTCTGAAACATTTGGTTCCCCCAGACTGTTGTGCTAAAAAAACGGCACTGTCTTCATGCTCCAGGTCTTTTGAGGAAGCCACACAAACTCCACTGGGAGATGCTGTCTGTTGATCAGCCTTGAGCAAGTGCTGGATCCTCTCAGCAGCAGCATACTTTAGTGGTCTGGATGTCTCACTAAACTGCCTAAATTGCACTTCTTGCCCCCCTCCAGCCATGACTGCATGTGGGGTCAGCACACTGAGCCTTCTGTGCTGCTCTAAACTGATGGGCTCTCGTGTTTGGGTTCACTGAAGTCGTGCTGAGTGCTGCCAGCCTGCTGTGTTGTGTTGCTGCACGGTGAAGCTGCATCCTCCCACCCCGGCACTCTTGACATGCTTCCACCGCCTCCAGCACCGCTTCCCCGGTGCTCCAGGAAGTGCTTGTGCAAGAGGGGAATAAAGAGAATATCCGCAGGGCTTGCTTTGAAGCAGCTGGCATTGAACAGCTATGATTCACTCCTTGGTGTTTGTGGAGCTGGCTGAGCCACCCTGGCCTGCTGCAAGGCACCCTGTACGGTGTGTGTGCAGGTGGGTGTTTGCTGCAGGCTGCTGAGAGAGAATCAGAACCCCGGGAGAGAGAAATGCTCTCCAAATTCTGCTCAGCTCAGGATTGATTGATTGCTTTAATCTGGCCTAAATCTGTGCTCTGTAAGGGCTCTGGCGTCCCTATCATCTCTCGTGCAGGTGAGATGAGCTGTCTCAAACCCAGGGGGTGCAGTGGGGAGCATAGCGTGCCCCACCTCTCCCTCCTCCCTTTGCTGGTGCCCTGTGGAGCAGCTGAAGCTCCTGCCCCAGTGTCTGTGGACCTTGGTGCTTGTCTGTGCCCTGCAGAGGGCTGGCAGCTGGGCTGCAGCCGCTGTCCCCGACTGCTCTGGCATCCCCTCTGCTGCACAGCCCTCGACTCCCTGCTCGGTGGCTGCTGAGCACCTGCTGTCTGCTCATGTCAGGGGAACCCAACCCTCCCAATCTGAGGGCTGCGGTGAGCGGCCCCGCGAGCTGCCCTTTCCACCCTCCCTCTGTTTGCTTTGGAGGGTTTTCACCACAGGAGCCGTGATTTTGAGCCGGAGCAGGTGCAGGGCTGGGGTGGCTGAGAGCAGAGCCGGGCTCTGCCCTCGCCGCAGCGCTTGGACCGGTGTCTCCCAGTCCTGACTTCGGTCCCCAGGCGTCAGCCCCGAGCTGGAGCGGGGCCGTGTGAGGGCGATATTCCCTTTGCCGTTTCCAGCCCGGCAAGGGGGAGCACCTGCTGCTCCCCGGCCCGCGCAGCGCGGGGCTCCATCAGCCGGGGTGAGGGAGGCACAGCCAGGGCTGCCCCCGGCCGCGGGTGCCGGGGCGTGGAGCGGCCGAACCGGCTGGGCGAGCCGGCTGAGTCACGGCGGGCGGAGCGGGCTGGGCGGGGGGCAGCGCTGCCGGCCCCCATGGCGCTCAGCGCCCGCGTCCGCAGGCTCTGCGGGCTCCCGGGACGCGGAGAGCGGCAGGTGCAGCTCAGCTTCAGAGGTGGGCTCCGGGGACGGGAGGGAGGGAGGGAGGGAGAGGGGCTGTCCTCCCCTGCCAGCACCTCACGCCTCCCCTCTCCTTCTCAAGGCTTCACCCAGAAGACGAGGAAGGTCCGCTGTGGCCCAGAGGCCGTCTTCGAGGAGGTGAGGGAACCGGTCACACGTAGAACCCGAGGGACGGGGGTGGGACAGGTCAGCGTCTCGGTCATAAAGTCACAGGTTGGTTTGGGTTGGAAGGGACCTTGAAGATCATCTAGTTCCAACCCCCACGCCGTGGGCAGAGATACCTTCCACAAGACAGTTTTCTGGGAATTTCTCTGCTGCCTCGTTGCTCTGCTCTGCTCAGGGAGGCAGGTGGGTCCCTCACTGAACAAGCTGCAGGAGCTGACACTCAGGGAAGTGGTAAACCTGCCTGGAAGCCTGGGCACACTAAAGCCAAAGACAAAGCCCTTCTGCCCTCAGAAGTCCAGATTGTCACTGCAGTCGATGCCTCATGGGACAGGAGTGGGCAAGGGGGGATGCAGGGATGGCCTGGCCTGGAAAGCACGTCCACCTCTCCAGTACCACCTCCCTGAAGGCTGTGACAGCCCAGCTGTGCTGCACCAGTGGGTGGTTCCCACCTGTCCCTTGCTCGATCCCAATGCCAGTGTGCTTCCTGGGGAAAGCTGGAGAAGGCTGGGGGGCAAGGGGAGCAGCAGCCGGTTTGGGAGTGCTGTGAGTCGAAGCTTTAGGGTGCAGCTTTGCCATGAGCCAGATGACTCCCTGCCTGGGTGGTCTCTTCTCCCCAGGTGCCTCTGTACCTTCCTATGTCCTGTCTCACTCCATAGCCTGTCAGCTCAGGGACTCCAGTAGGCACAAGCATCCTTCTCTTTCCAGGGTGATGCTGCTCTGGCTTCTTTAGCAGCTGACTTGTGCTGCTGGAGGGGCTCTGGTCTGCCTGGCCAGCAGGAAAGTAACTCCCCACCACGGCTGCTTTTTGTTGTGCCCATGGACTTGGTCACCTCACAGGGGACCCAAGGAGCCACCAGATGGGGGAAAGTGTGGCTGGGAATGAGTTGTCATCCCTTCCTGCTCCCTTTGTTTGCAGCTCTTTCGCTGGCCTCACTATGGAAAGCTCATCATGGGCGAAATGCTGTCCATTAAGGTTTACAACTGCAGCAAGGTTTTCAGTAACAGGTGGGTCCTTTGGTTCTTGAGATGACCAGTAGAGGTGGGGGAGGACACATACTGGGCTTTAGTTACATTGTTCTCTGGAAATAGAAAACGTTTATTGAAAGCCTGATGGAAGAAAGATGAGCAGGATGCAGGTTATAGAGCAGGGAGGGAGCTGGTTGTTCTGGTGGGGCAGCAGTGCTGCATATATCAAGTTAAATAAGGGGAATGATTTAGTTGTGCCAGCAATAACAAGGACTACCTAAGGATCCAGATCCAATCCTCAGCTGAGACAAAATGATAGAGCTACAGGGGCAGGACTTGCAGCAGACTGGGGACCTGCTCTCACCCTGAACATCCACATGGTGGCTGTGACCATGCTGCACCCAAATTCAACATACCTGCCCTTGGGGAAGAGCCCTGAACCCGTGGTGATATGGTTTACCTTCAAAAAGACAGCAATTCGAATTTAAAGGACAGCCAGAATTTAAAATTCTAGGTGGCACAGACACAACACTGTGAACTCAGTGGCTATTACAGCAGTTGTAAAACACTGCAGGGAAAGCCTCGAATAGAGATGACCAATTGAGCAGTGGTGGTGGGGCAAGAAAGGCAGCAGAGGCAGGTCCTTCAGGAGCTGAGGATGCAGGGAAAGGTGCCAGCTCTGATAAGCAAAATGTAAGAACTGAAGGGAAATGCACAGGGAACAACTTTCTAGAAGCAGCTAATAATACAAAGC